AGCAGCCACAGTAACTAGGATTATGCGCTTGAATTGTGAGGGGTACAAAAACAGACCCCAAAATCTGCAATCCACTGATATTTGGCGCTGAATAATTGTACTCACTAACTTTAAAGAACTGCCAAGACTCAACAGGATGAAAAAATTGAATGATTTCCCTTTTGACTGTTTTATGCAGACACACTAGCAGATGTAGTTAAAAATGACCCCTGATGTCCTGAATTTTTGATTAACCTGTTTCAGTGAAGCCATTTATGCCTTTGCTGCCGTAGCCTCTCATGTTTGATGGACGTGGCAGCTACATGTGCTGTTAAAGTGGAAAAAGACATTCCTGAAAGCCCTTAAGTGAGCGCAGGTCCCGTGCGGTATTGTGCGCCCGGGCGGATGTGCCGTCGTTATCTATAATGACTTCTTTCTCATTAAGATATTTTCATTACAAGGTCCTAGCCCGAGGCTCCAGTTTGTGCGCGCTAAAACATGCGCGCTTGGGATTGTGTTTAATTAAGCCACAGAGGGCTGGGTGCATGTTTTTGCAAACAAGGTCGCTTAAGGTATTTCCACATTGCTAATCTCGCACATCCCATTATTTTGCTGTAAATGTAAAAATGAATAGTTGGAGTAGACAGGGAGGATAAACTGTGCAGGCCATCTTTTTTTTTATCCAATGTAGAACCTCAGAAACTTCATCCCAGCCCTGCTCCTCATCCTCTCATTTTTAAATCCATCTTACCTTACACTTGCTAATGTGGTACTTCTTCTGCACTAAATCCTGCGGGGGATTTAACTGCAGCGGCTCAGAGAAAGAGTGGCATGTGAAGGACCGGAGGCGTCTGGCTGAGAGAGTTCTGCCACTCACCGGCAGTTAGGCCCCTGATAGCTGCAGTATCTCCTCGAAACAAAACACTTTGGCGTGCTCCGATGGGGCTTACGCTTGTTGGCTTTTGTTATTGGGCCGTGCGCGCTGTCACTCGTCGTCGTGACGGGCTGTCAGCTCATTGACACGAGTGGAGAAATCTTCATCCGCGGCCCTCAAGTGGTTTTATTACATCTGTGTGTCAATATCACCACCAGGGAGTGGTTGTTAGAAAAAGGGGGAAAAACCGAGGCTGTCTCCCTGGTTAAGAGCGATGCATTGGAAAAAATATAGTGGAGCAAAAGAGAGAGTTTTTTAATTAAATGTGTGTGCTCTGTCAAGTGAGTTGCTTCTTTCCTGGAGGTATGTCTTCCTTGTAAATTAAATGTGATGTCGCTGCACAGTTGGAGATAGGAACCACCTGGAGAGAGACACAGTGTTGTCCCTGCAGTTCAGCCTGTAATTGCTGCTTCTATCGGATGTGGGCACGCTGACCTGTTAACATTTGCTTTTAATCTAATTTGTTCTGTCCTGTTACTTTCTTCTTCTTTTTTTTTAATAAGCCTTTGCTCATTACAAACACCTAAACACCATATTTTTACTACTTCCCCCTTTACGTCCCTTTTTCCTCAGATCTCTCTGCTGAAACAGTCCCTGGAGCTGCAGCTGTCGCAGTCTCAGTCAGCTCTCCAACAGCTGCAGTCTCAGTTCAACCAGGAGAGGGAGCTCCTGAGCCAACAGCTCAAAGGTATGCACGCGCTTCCTCCACGTGGCGACTGCGGCTACAAGCTGCATCCTAAAATTACTTTCTTAAAGTAGCGATTTTGCATTTGTATGTGATTTTAACCTCCTTTACACTTTATTTCTGATCAGCGTCTTTTCAACTCATATCGTCTATATTATGTCCTTAACCTTAAAATCATTTTTAACGGAACGCAGCCACAAGAAAGATAATGTCTGAAAGTTTTTGTCACTGATGCGACTATAAAACAAGAGATTTTTTTATTTTTTGATTATGGGAATTTGAAAGAGAAGGAAGGTTGGAGCTGTAACAGCCAGTTTGAGCTGTTAGATGACGAGTTTTATCAGGGCAAGCCTTTGTGCCTCTAAATCAGCCATTCCCAAAGTCACGAGTGCTGCAGCCCACTTAAAAACCTGAAGGTCCATTGGGGCCACCCAATCTTAAGTCTTCACTGTAATCAAAATCCATGAGAATGTGATGTATTCCTCGAAAAATGTCTTAAAAATAAATAAACCACACAGGATGTTGGCTATAAATTGCTAATGCTACCTAGTCATATGCAAAGTGGTAAGGCTAACTGGGACATAAACTTTAATACGAGGGAAGTAAATTTAGGTCAAAATAAAGTAATATCACCTCCTATTTCCTGTTTTAACTCCATATTTATGTAACTACATTGATATAAATATGTAACTGTGCATACTACTAATTTCAAGCTGAATTTCTGTTATTATTGCAGCCATGAAGGGGGCCACTGCTCCCTTAAAAACTTTTGGGAATCACTGCTTCAAAACATCCATGAGGGAAATAACTGAATTCACAGCCCAGGATGTTCACTAGCATGAGATCGTCAGCGTGTCGAGACAAATCATGCTGCATTGCACTGTACCACTGCTGAAACCAATTTTTATTCTGTCGTGAAGAATAAATAAAATTCTGAAATATAACCTAAATATTTAATACAAATAGTCCGAGCATCGAGTGTGTAAATATTTAGTTGTCACCTTCTGTTCAGCGGCGCGTCTCCTGCCTCAGACTGTCATATTGCCTTATCGTGTCAAACAGAATGGAAACACGTCTGCTGTCGATGCATCTCAGTGTACATGTTAATATCTCTGTGTTTGCAGAGATGCAGAGAGAACATCAGAGGAGAGAGCATCGATTACAGGAGGCTCACTGCTGTGCCCTCAGCACCATGGAGGAAGCCAGGCAGCATCAGATAAGAGTACGACACACACACACACGTATTTGCAAGCATGTAGGTTTGCATCGGTTGTCTTGGGATTTGTCACATAGTTGCACGACACTACCTGCCTTTTGTTCTCTCTGAAAAGAAAAGTAGAGCAAGTTCTAACTAACTTCTCGGGGGCTTTTACTAAACACATTACAGTAGCCTTTCTTGTTCCACTGTGGACTTCACTGCAGTCTTCTTTGAACTCGTCTGTTTCTACACACAGTAAAAGTGCGACGAGGACAGTTTCGACAGCCTCACTAGTGCAGCAACAACAGCTGCTAAATGCTGCCATCGTTCACTAACAAGTGCTGTGACTGAAGCAATAATGTGCTGCAGTAATTCTAGTAGCAAAAATGCCTTATAATTAATCAAACCTGTGATTTTAAATATGTTTTAAACAGCAAACCTTTGACTACTGAATGCAGCATTCGAGAGATTTGCTGTTGCTTTGTACTGTAGTATTAACGTGACTCTAGAACGCTGTATGTTGGTGGATCCTGCATGGCTAGGCTGGAGTTTGGTGTTGCAGAGATTTCAGTGTGACGATTTTTTATAAAATTTGGTTTGATCTGTCACCTCAGCCGAGTCTGAGACTGAGCAATCGGTGCAGTTTCTTTTTCTGGCATCAATAAATGTTCAGTTTAACTCAGTCTTATTTATATAGACCAGCACAAGTCACTTTAAGGCATTTTATATTGTAAGATAAAGAAAATAATACAGAGAAAACCTCAACAATCAAACAACTCCCTTTGAAGAAGCACTTGGCAAAAGTGGGAAGGAAAAACTCCCTTTTAACAGGAAGAAACCCCCAGCAGAACCAAGCTCAGGCAGGGGCAGCCATCTGCTGCGACTGGTGTGGGTGAGTGGATTTGATAGTTAACTCAAAAACAGGGTGATGATGTACCGCAAGGTCAGAGGTCAAGTTTTTGTGAATGCGATGACTCAAGGACGTCACGTAGGACTTTCAAATACCATAGGTGTATTTATTAGGAGGCTGATGAGTACTATTAGCCAGTATTTTTTACCTATGTGATTGAAAATGACCACAAGGCAACATTTAAGCAGAAAATTAAAAACAAAAAATGGCTATATTTTCTTCAAGTCATCAAAAAACACATGTGACAACTGCAGCAATAAAACTATGAAAAGGTTAGCACTGCACGTGAACCATGATTGGTATTCTCTCCAAAGCTAGCTCTGCTTATAGGTTGATTTAGCTGCTTGAACAGCAGAGTAAGCAGTAACCTTGTGTTAAGGTAATGTTGACTAAGATTTCTTGAAGAAATGTAGAGTTTTTGACTAAATCCATCAATACAAGAGCCTGAAACAACACGTGAAAACAAGACCACTCAGAGAGCGCAACTCCTATCAAAGGGCAGGTTTACTAACACTGGTGTTTTATGATGTTTTATTACAACATGATGATGTCAACCCGTTATGTCATCATCGTGACATAATTTGATATCATAGGGACAACAGTCAAGCTCATGTTTAGCCTGCATAGGTAATCATGTCCCCCAAGGCCTAATATATTGCTGTTATCGGTATCTACCATCACAGAAAATCTGAAAATGCTGTTTGGAAAACTGCTAACAGACAGACAGACAAAACCAAGTACACACTCCCTCCATTAGGGAGGAGAACAAACTAAAAACTTGCTGCTAAACTTAAATTAAAGAATTAAAGTGTCCTTTAGCTGTCTATCAGCAGGAGAGTAGAGAATTGTGCTTCAGTTGCTGATATATCCACAATGTCACTTCCTTTGAACTTTGTAATACACAAGTAAAATGCCTATTACCATTATAAATGTTGATAGTTCAGGTGTATTTTAAGTTAAAAATGAAAGAAAAAGACAGAGTTGACCTATCATTTTACTTTTAAATCATCAAATTTGTTCATGTGCTCCTCTGGCTGTATCCTGTCTTTTTATAGTTCTGTAAAAATGTGACTTTCAGTACAGAAATCTGCAGCTGCTGTTCCTCTCTTTTCACCTGTGTTCTTATCTAGTCTGTGATCAGCAAAAGTCCTTAAAATAGTGCTTTATAAGAGGTACACAACTTGATTTGTCGTCCTGGGAGCTTCTAGTGCCTGACGTTATTTCTTCCAGAGAGGAAATTATAGTGTGGAAGGTGCTGCAATTTGAATTTCCAATATAGTCCACAGCACAGCAATGATTGTGAAGTTCAGCGAGTGCTGGTCAACAAAACTACTTGAGACCAAGTGAAAAAGTTTTTGAACTTTTCTAATATTGTTTAATGATCCTTTATGTCTGCCACAGAGTCGAGAAGTGTAGAAGATTCATAGCACAATCAAACCCCTGAGGAAATTGCCGGCTTTCTGAGCCATTTTATTTGGATCATTTACTTTAATTTCACCAATTTTCTTGTTAAGTAATATTAAAATGAGCCAAATGATATAAATTATGGTTGAGGTAGATTTTTTTTCCGTTATGAGAGGATGTGTCAAAAAGCTCATTGATTTTATACTTACACTCTTTAGTCATTTTCAGCCTGTTGATGGATCTTGCTGTCAGTTTGTGTAGTGGCGGCACTCCGTCTATTTCACTCTTCTGCACCACCTTTAGGAGTCAGTCTGGCAACATGCATTTGAAACGCGAGCAAGTCCAGGTACTTTTCTTGCAAAAAGATGTTTATTGAAACTTTTAATTTACACGGCAAGACTC